AAATTTTTTTTTTATTTATTTGAAAATTTAACATAACACCTGTCCTAACCTGTATAGAATAATTAAAAGTATAACCTAAAATTATATTTAAAACTGAATTTTTCAAGTTCAATATTATTTGTTAAATTATATTTTTCTTTGACTTCTTCAAAAACCCCTTGATACCATTCCTGTTTTTTTGCATGTGTATGCATTTTAGAATGTCTTTTTTTTTGTTTATCCAATTAAAGACAGCTGGTTGAGGATCAAACTCGTCTAAAGCTGACATGTTTATTTTCACATAGTGTAGTACTATACTAAATAATAATATTAATATATTATATTTCGCTAGGTGGACCAGAATCAGAAAACATTAATTAATAATTTTATTTTGCTGATATTTCATTTATCACAAAATAAGTTTTACTATACGTATCTACTATACATAATTGATAATAATATTATACTATTTTATTCTGTGTTAGTTACACAGATTTCTATAAATTACTAGATAGCGAACTCCGGTCATGAATTGAAGCTTCAAGGTCGGTTGGCAATTGTATAGTATTTCATATGACAAATAAGATAATATTATGATTTATTTTATAACGTATTTTATTATTTCTAAACATTTAGGTTACAAAAAAAAAGAAGCTGAGCTTCACTTGTGACAATGTAAATTGTATAAGAGTTCCTTATCCAGTGCCGGGTTAACGAATATGCCGCCTGGGGGCAGATTTTAAAATGCCGCCCTTTACAAACCTGTACCCATCATAAAAAAAATAACGTACATAACAACAGTGTTAAAATTGTTTAATTTATATATATTTATAAGCATATCGTAAAATCAGTAGTTTTAGTATCATAGAACTATTAGTACTAAGTATATATACATATAAACACAAGTTGAAATTTACAATTTTTTTCTAGCTTTCTGTGCAGCAAATTCTTTAACGAAGTCATTCCAATCCATACTTTGTAGGACACAATTCTCAATATTGATATGATTGGATAAATTTATCGGCAAATCAAAACCGAAAAAAACAAATAAAAACTTACATTCTGCAGATTAGCAAACTATTTAACAACAATATTTGATAAATGTCAAAATTTAAAAAAATATTTTAAATAATCAAAGTAATAATAAAGTTATTATAGCATACATTAAAAAAAAAAAAAACTTTAAAACATTGGATTTAGATAATTGGATACAAGTATACAACAGTTAATACAAATTATTGCATAATATTATGTTAAATAATGCTGATCCGCCATTTATAGAAAATAGTCAAAAGAAAAATGTAATCTAATAAAATACAATCGTAGTCTGAAGTATTTAAAATTAATTATAAATTCGTTTTAAAAACCTTAGCATAAATATTAATCGCGACTATTCATATTTTATATTCTTCATTATTCTTTAATAAATAGGTAAGTAAACACTACTATATAATATTATTAAATACGTAAGTTCTTACCTTTTTGAATAAACTTTGAATTTTAGGCGTCTGAGAAATTATCAGTTTATCTTTTTTATTTTTTTCCTCAGCTCTTTTGCGAAATTCAGCACCACTTAACTTTATGCGTTTTCCACTCATATTGATTGATTAAAAACTGCTATTAGGGAATATTAATCCCGTTTTTTCAATTTTAAATAAATATGACTTTACATTTGACGAGACTACGAGTACGTTCTACTACTACGAGACTCGAAAGACGAACAGATAACCGAACCTATAATATAGCCATACGGGTATGAAACAAACACGACTATATTTATTGCTGTAAACATATTGTGTACAATATTTCGAAAATAATACGATAATATGAACAATAATAGAAATGTGTTGCCACGTCGCCGCTTAGCCGTCGGTCCGAGCGCTATAATAATAATAATAATATGGTCTTTCAATTTTACTAATTTTAATAATTTATAATACGCTGAACGTTCACGTAATAATTCTGAGGTAGGCGATTCGATATAAATATCTACTATAATATTACTGTTATTATTTGTTATACACATTTTTCAATGAATAATAATTCTTCCTAAAAATTAAAATACATTAGAAAAATTCAAAACTTTCGTTTTCACTGTTAAGAATTTGCCGCCCCTAAAAAATTGCCGCCCGGGGCAACTGCCCCCTTTGCCCCCCCCCCCTTAACCCGGCACTGTCCTTATCTAGTTTAGTATAGAAGTCTGTGGTTAGTTAGTTCATGGAATCATACAACCACTTACCACAGAGTAACAATAAAATAATAATATTTATAGCTTATAACATTGATTAAATATACATCATGCTATTATTAGTTTTTTCCAATGGCATTATCGATGCATTTTATCACACACACACACACACACACACACACACACACACACACACACGCACACACACACACACACACACACACACACACACACACACACACACACACACACACACACACACATGTAACTTATCAGTTAATATAACCATAGATTAAAATTAAGATTCAAAACTAAAAAAAAAAATAAAAGTTAATAAAAACCAGTCACAAAGTCTAAATATAACACTAAAATAATCAACACACATTTTCATTTTGTACTGCACTATTCCGATTTCGTACTGCACTAACAGTGTCGTACTGCACACTATTTTAGGCCGATAGACTCTATCTTATAAAATCTAAAAATATTGTGATACTTATACACGTCTCTCAAGTTAAGCTATGTCGTCTTAAATTATACATTATATTAATTATTATCGTACCACATGATTGTATATTATACACTATAAAGTCTATAATACGATGTATAGGCACCATGCCACCATCACAAAACGTATATTGTATTATTATATTATTATATTGTACCGTTTTGGAAGTCGACAAGCGATGACGCAACGGTGGACCCCTTTACAATATTATATTACAGATATATATAGAGAGAGATAGAGATGATTTAAATTACAACGACATAAGTTTCACCGCTCTTACGCAATAACGCAATTTTCACCCGGTGTTTTGGGCACAAGAGCATTTATTACGGGGAGGGGCCGAGGAGGGGGGGGCGAACCAGCAGATATCGCGATTTTCGCACGCGGTTAGTCTGGACTCGACGGGGGGTCAATTGAAAGTGTTAGAGGGTGCGTGTAATGGACAAAGAGAAGGGTTCGGGAAATCCTTTTTGGCGTTGAACAGATTATAAATTATCACGCAGCAATAATATACTCTACAGTCTACATCTAGCGACTAGTAGCCACGCGCAGGGGTGGTACGAGAAACACTTTCTATCGAATATTAATATTATATACAAACATAACTGAACGCTCAATATAAGATTGGATTGCAATACGGTTCCAGAAGATTTAGAGTCAGTGGCGTATTTAGGATTTTTCCAAGTTGCGTACGGTTGGAGAAAATTTAAAAGCCACCAGAAAATCCTAGATCTTAAAAAAGTATTAAAAATAAACCAAATATAACATAATAATATAATAATGTATATTGCATCGCTTTTCTTTTTTAGTGGCATCGATATTCGATAATATATCAATAAGCTCTTAGAGTAAAAAATGGATTATATTATTTATGCATGTATAAAAAAAATAATATATTGTGCACACTTATATTATATAATATTATATTACTGACGTTCGATCTTTCATTTATATTAGGTATATGGTTTAAATACGCTTATACGTAGGTACTACATTGCTACCGCGTATTCAATTCCATATATTTTCAATATATTGATACGACACCGCAACAGCAGTCGTATACCAATGTAATACGAAATGTATGAAAACGGCTCTTCTCGAGTCGATTTGTTACATAAAACATAACTACGCGTAGATAGTTTAGGAGAAATATAGGGATAAACTCTAAAATTCGTATATACGAGAAAACGATTTAAAAACACTTAGCGAACAACCACAGACTATAAAATGTTCGCGTCGTTGGGATTTTTTTTTATTTTTATATACTTAGGGAAATTAGATTCTTATTGGATTTGGTCATGAACTTTCGATACGGTGTTACAGGCTACAGTTGCATAATGTTTAAATCATTTTGCCGAGTTGAAGACATTTGATACAAACGAATGCGTATATATCCACCCATAGTTTCGTGTAGGGCTTTGGGTAGGTTAATCGAAATGCCGATGATAAATTTGGTTGGGTGAATGTGACACCAGGGGGTAGGTATAGGTATGCTATTTGAGGGAGTCAGACCATAATATTATAATAGCTATTTGTCTCCCTATTTTCTTGTGTAATATGTCATTCGCCTGCGTCGCATATAATACGGTAATTTACATAATATTATCAATCATGAAGTCTATAAATTGGCAATCGTTATTTGAAATATGAATATACAATGGCCTACACAAATATATTACATGACTGAGCTTGGATAAATGGTCCAATAAATATGGCATATCGCATAATATCATGTATAAATTATATTTTGTTGAAAAGTTGTTTTTATTAATTGTGGTCGGAAGTAGGCAATTAATCTGCAAATTTATCACACTCAACCTCTCAATTTAAAATAAACGAAAAGATTTATCGTACAAAAGAAAAAATGTCTTCGATAACAGAAAATGTTGTATGTTTTAAATAGGTTCACTCACAAAATAATCGTAGTTTAATTTCCAAAACTGATTAAAATATTTACCACTAAATTAACCAATAAACTATTCTTATTTTTACTTTCAGTTTTAATCTGTAAAAAAATTAAATAACAAAATTAAGTTAATAGGTAATAACTCCATTCCCAACGATTTCCTACTACCTTTTTCATGGAACTCAAAACACAGTAGCTTGACGTCGTAAAAAATTCAAAATATGTACCTACTTCTTAAAGAATGTAATTCGAAATTTATATTATATAATATACTACGCTATATCAGTATTAAAATGTGTGTTTGCCTACCAAATTACCATAGGTATACCTAACCTAACCTATATAGTAAACTGGAAACGTATTTATGTGGGGAATAATATTATATTATTATATCTAACTATTAATGCTGTAATACTGACCTTGTCGGTTTTGACGTCGATGGCAAATATCCTGGGCTGGGTCCGGCGGACAGGCTGTTCCATGGTGTTGACCAACCCGCTGTCGAGCACCCACAGCACGCCGGTCGGGTCCAGATACACGTCGACGGCATTTTGTATGGCGTTCGGATCGCCCTCGTCGTGCAGCGCCCAGCACGGGTACGGCACCAGCACCGGCCAGCACCTGTGCTCGCACTCCAACCGGACAGTGGACACGGTGAACGGCACGCCGGACCGGAACCTGGGCGTGAGCACGAACGCCCGGTCACCCCACACTTGCGCCCTAGTGACGATCACGTTCTTGGCCACGTACCGCCCGGTGTCCGTGTAAACGCTCTTGGTGGACGTGCACGGCCACTCGATGTTCTGGCCGTTCAGCGTGTACGCGGCCACGTCCGCCGGCTGGTCCGGGCCGGCCACCCTATGGTCGCCGCCGGATACCACCGCGGCCACCGCGGCCATTGCCAACGCCACCGCGTGGAAACCGGACATTGAGGGCCGACCGGGACTCAGGTATAATATACTCACTTGGTATATAAGCTCGCCTTAATACCTACAGTGCGGTAACCGCTGCAGTGGGACGCAGTTACAGCGGTGTATATGTTGCAAAAGACCGCGTTAAACTGCACTATTGTTGTGCACTCGATAGCGAAGACCAGTAGACGACTTGCAGATTTGATGATCGCTATCGGACCTGTTACCGTAAATTATATTATAATATTATAATGTATGTATATTTATATACGCACCGCTATCGCGACATACGTGTCAGTATTTCGTACTTATAACAATATATCGGCGTTTTGTTGTTTTTATTTCGTACTCGTATCGCGAGTTTATGTATATTATTATTATATATTGCGATATGCGTTTTTGTTTTTGGTTTTTTCGTCATTTTCGTAAACATTGCTCCTCGCCCGCAGTGGCATTGACGCGGACGTGTCGGGCCCGCAGTCTTTGGCGGTTCGACCGAAGGCCAAGGTCTCTGCTAGCCGAGTTATTGTATATTGATCGTGACGATAATAATATTAATTTTTATCATCGTCTTCGCTTATCGATGCGATTTGACCATCGGACATCAGCCTTTACAGTTTTTAGACGTCAGCTTATGAGTGGTACCTATATCATGTAGCCTTTTGAAACCAGTGTATACAACTCTATAAGCGTCCCAAACCTTGATCGGCCTTCATGTTAAGTCCGGACAAAAATTGTTCGAAAGAGGTCTTAGCTAAATAAAATATGCGTTGAACCTTTATGTCTAATCTGATAAGCGATAACCCCGATATAATAGTTATTAATTGAAGTGATTTTATATTTTAGTTAGTCAAGCTGGTAATAATAAAAATTATTAGCATACCTTCTAACTATAAAATTACAATTTAACATTTAATCTCAGTTATGTGGTCATAATAAATTAATAATAATAAAAAATATTTATAATAATTTCGTTTTTATATGGGCCAACTTAATCTTTCTTATTATAATTTTAAATAATATTTTATTCGTAATGCTTTATGTGAAACAGATTTTAATTATAAATATTTTGTTATCAAAAAGCCAAATGATGTTAAATTAAATATGCATTGATTATTAATTTGCTTTTACGTTTTGAGTAATATCTATAAAATTAATTTCTTATTGGTTTCTCTAAATTTCTTCACTTCCTGATACCGTAACTTTAAAACCGAATGACTAAAAAAATCCGTTCGCAAGACCGGAAACACCTAAGCCGAAAACGTTAAAATGTATATAAGCGTACAGCATAAAGCCAACGATCAGTATAATATTACGCCTGTTGAATTGAATATCCGTCTGATTTACCTTTTTTCGTGGGCAACGCGAGTATACCTTCAGTACGCACTAAGCAACCTTTGAAACCGTCGCGAATTCGACTCACTCGATAAAATCCGAGACCGTAGAAACAAAAAATATAATAATAATAATATACGTTATATTATAATAATTCCTGTAAGCGTTAATACCACAGCGATAAAAAAAAAATTTGAAATCAGCCGAGCCCGTCGTCGTCGGTTTCGTATGATAACAGCGGTTGCATGCATGCGGCTAAAAAACACCATCTGCAGCTGCGCACACACGACACACCATCGAGAATATGGTTTATATCGTTTTGTTTGCCATCATCGTATTATAATATTAGCTATACAATATGTAATGTACGGTGTCCGGATGACAGTTCACGTCCAGGACGGTCGTGTAGATATTAGCGAAACTCGTATGTCTGTGTAGGCAATACCTATCTCTACTTTCATAATTTTTTTTTTTAATTTCGACAAACTTATTTTAAATACGAACAACTGCGAAAACAAAACGACATTTTTAGTGCGTGACGAACGTGATTTCACTTAAAAGTATAAGCTCGACTTAATTTTTTCGTGTGAGCTGTCAGTTTTTTGGGTATTTGTACGTAATATATATACTTAATATATAACACACGACATCTGTACGTAGGTGTATTACTCTACTACAATAATAATATGTAATTACAATATTATTATTGTATGACGCGAGTCGTGGAGTCTCGACGGTCTGCAGATAACGAAAATATCTGTCTACATTCCACAATTATTACGTCATAATATTATACGTACATCAATTAGTAATAATGTTTATTTAATGGGTACATACAAGTCAAAATGTTTTTTTTTGTTTCATTTGTCGCCGTAAAACAACCACGTATTCAGGTACATGCGTTTCAATGGGTTATTGAAATCTAACAAATTTAACTACACGTGTTTAAACTTTATCATTCATCACTCTCATAAAAACGGGCGAAAATAAAATCTGTGTACCACATACGTTCGACCATAGTTTTATTATACTATCCTATATGTATTATATAATGTATGTACAAGTCATAAATGCATAATGCATACTTTTTTACATTTGACTTGGAAATATCTACTCGTTTTGTAACATGGTTGACACTCTAATAATATTAGACTGAGCCCAATTTTGTTTTTAGATTTTGGGTGGAACGATTAATGTATTGATTTTACAATGATGTGTGTTTTTTTTTTTAATTTTTGTCTGTTATCAAGGTAGTAAAACTACTTCGATTTTCTTCAACAGTATCTTGATCGATAGGAAAGTAAATCTAGTTGGTGTATTCGGGAGGTCAAATTTTAAAATTCCCAATAGAACAGGGGAAAAACAACATAAAAATTAAGGAAAATCGGGAATTTTACGCAAAATCGGTTTTCCAAAAAAACGTTTTTGGTTTTTGGTGTAACTCTAAAACAAATGAAGGTATATACATGATATTTTTAAGGGTTGTTTATATTTGCATTTTCTATACATGATAAAATTTTCGGTGACACTTTTTTGCCTGATTTCACAATATTCTAAAATGTATTTTCGTATACCTAGTACCTACCTCTGAATATTAGATTCAAAATACATAATGAACAATACATATTTCTGTGTAATAATTATTATAACAGACGATATGTCATACACTCGGTTCATCTAAGAAAATAGTAGAAATTGTTAAAAATATTAAGAAGGTTTGGAAAATACAATGATATTTGGAGATATCCGTTGAAGCTTACTATAATACTATCAATGTACATATTATGTAATATCACTTTAAAGCTAAAATAAATGTTAATATTATAATTTATGTAAATGCAAAAACTACTGTAAAATGTATAGACTCTTTCATTTCTTATCATATTATGTAGATTCATTTTTTTCTTCAAAACCAATAAATTTCATCCATGTTTAGGAAATTTTAATGTGAAACTACTATTCATTGTCTTTTTCTTACAGCCTCATTTTATATTCATTCATTCACATTTACTTATTGTTCCTTGTATCGATTGTACATTTTCACAAAATTATAACAAATATTTTTATAAAAAAAAACAACACATAAATATAAAAATAATAATTTTAAATGCTATTATGTTTGTCTATTAACATATAATTATTATTACAAAAATAAATGTTAATTATAATTTGTTGGTTATTTTGTACATTAAAATAGTAGGTACCTATATACCCGGACAGCATTTTTTTTTTTAAATATTATTATAACATTATCATCGTGAATAATATTTGTATAACATTATTATAATAATATTATCATTACAAAATTCTGTCTGGTAGGTTAATACATAATTTTCATGCAGATTATTTTTAAAAATATATTTTTAGAAATACCACAAATACGTATTACATATATTACGTATACATATATTTCATAAGTTTATTTTGCACATAAATCTTTTGGGCTCTAATTATAATGTATTAGGCAATGCCTAATATTATTATTTTTGCTGTTTATCACTTCCCATCTACGGACATCACCGTTCATTATATAATCGTTGAAATATAATAATATGTAAAATACATAATTATATGTTGTAGGTATAGGTCGTTCCAAAACCCACTAAACAATACAATTTATTTATGATAAATTAGACTCATTCCACGCAGCAATTTAAATCGTATGCGTATCATATAATAGTTGTAAAAGTGGCGTGTACACAAGCACTATATTATACCTACGGTCTACACTATGTGCTCACAATTTATCCGGTATCGCCTTTTACATTCGGAGCACACTCGTGACCGGTTTATATATGTAATATAACAGTAGTTGTTGTAACTTCGCGTATATCTCAGCTGATCTACTGTGCACGATAGGCCTATCACGGACGAGTTGTTCTTTTCTCTCCCGCAGACAACGTCGTATAAACAACGATAAAGGGTTTACGCACGGGGCATTACGTAAACTTCCTTCGCTTGTAATATCCACAAAATAACTAAAACAAAAACGAAAATTCTCCAGAATTACTATGGTAAACGCAGCCGAAATCCGTAACACAATAAGTCCTTATTTGTAACGCAACTCGCACTATACACCGACAGGTCTCTCAGATATTATTATTATATGTTTTAGGACAATGATTTGCGGACAAGTAAAAAAATATTGGTTTACGAGTAATTCACGAGCAGAGACGGACTTAAAAATCATTACTAAACCCAATAAGTTGCGTATGAGCGTACGATATATTATTATTGAACAATTAAAATATGATACGTTTAACATAAGCATACAATGTTTAGTACCTATATTATTCATTTTTTAAATGTACGATAGTAATTATTACTTTAGGTATTATTATTTATTTAAAGAATAATACACATCATCAGTGTAACAATATTTGTATACAGAACCAAAACATTTTTCGATTGAGAGATAAATATTATAATACATTATGACGACCAGACAATTATGTATATTACAGATGACACGTCAACCTATATTTTAATCAATATAACGTTAAAGGTGTTTAAAAATCACAGTTTATGAGATACTGGTATAACTGTGAAGGTATTGTTATTAATTATTCGAGTAACCGCATGTACCATCAAACGAGGGTCAAAATCATGACGACTCGTGTGGATTATTTAAACATAATAACATAAATGCCGTAATTTAATAAATATCGTTTACTATTACCTAC